GTGTGTGTGTGTGTGTTTGCAGACTAATGTAACCGTGGGCAACAGCAGCAGGGTGGTGGCCTGTCTCTCTCCCTGGGCTCCAGTCCTTGAACTCAACCACTCTCAACCCTGTCACACAGGTAACTGAAATTATTCATTTAGTCAACATGAAGCCAGAATAGCGGCACACATAAGCTGACTGACCCAGATAGGTTGGGTTTTTAATACAAAATGTTTCCTGTGTGCAGTATAAAAATATTGTCATGCAGGCATACTACACCAGTTCTAGTTCTAGGCCGACAGCCTTTTGAAGGTGCAGATTGGGATAAGTTCCAACTTCACTATGACTATGCGTCTGACAGCTATGAGGAAACACTTTCTGTGTGTGTCTGCAGCTTTGTTTGGAGGATATGGCGTTGAGGTGAATGTCAGTGTTCCTAAAGCTGTTGTCAGGCTGCCTTTCCCTCAGTCAACAACATGGTACCTCACCCTGCAGCTCACATGTAACAGGTAATCGTGCAAATATGGTTTTATGTAACGCTACAGTGTGTTACGCATTATTCATGTTTAGACATTTTTAATTAAAACACCAATCCATATTTTTTTTGAGAGTCTCTAAATGACAGGACATTAAAGCGCATTTTTTTTAATCCACATTTAAAAGTCTCAGAGACCTGGAGTTTGATGAGCTATTTCTGTCTTGTTCATTGTTTTTGTGTGTTTTTTTTAAATATTTAAATGTGTGTGTTTGTCTTGCAGCAGTGAATGTGGTAATACTTCATTGGTGTCTGTGGTCCCAGACGTGTTCATCAGTGCCTGTGTAGAGGACTGTGGGACATACGGTGAATGTAGACTACTGAGATCCTACAGCTACCTGTATGCTGCGTGCGTCTGCAAGGCTGGTACGACACACACACACACACACACACACAAAGATACTTCTATATTTGTGAGAATGTTGCTTTACTTAGCTTCAATGTGAACTAAAGCGTAAAGCCCAGCCTCACTGCCTTTTACTTGAGCTAAAATAATATGTAGCATCCCTGTGTTTGTGTGTTTGTGTGTGCGCGCGCAGGCTGGAGTGGTTGGGGCTGCACTGATGACTCGACAGCTCAGTCGTACCGTCGCCAGTTGACAGCCACTCTGCTGCTCACGCTCAGTAACCTGTTCTTTCTGCCTGCCATTGTGGTGGCCATCAAACGCTACTACATCACTGAGGCCTCCGTCTACCTCTTCACAATGTTCTTCTCCACGGTAACACATGCAGAAACACACATACACTGCAATGTCTAGAGTGAGCAACACTCTAGACATTGACAGGTCACTATGGGAACATTTATATCTATGTATATATTTTATATGTAACTGTGTGCAAGACAAGCTTACAGAATGTGAGAGTTAATTCCTCCAGTGAATTTCCTTGTTCTTTCTTTCTTCTTTTCATATTTTAGTTCTACCATGCATGTGACCAGCCAGGTATAGCCGTACTATGCATGATGGACTACGATACCCTACAATACTGTGACTTCCTGGGGTCAGTCTGTTCCATCTGGGTCACCATCCTGTGCATGGCTCGCATCAGAGACACATTCAAATATGTAAGACGCTGCCTATTTAACACTATTATCACATTATTATGATGTTTTAAGTGCTAATGTTTGTTTAATATTGTATTTTTCCTAATACCCTGTGTAGACTCTGTTTATGCTCGGGGCTCTGCTGATAGCCATGTCAATGCAGCTGGACCGCAAAGGTCTGTGGAACCTGTTGGGCCCCGTCCTCTGTGCCATACTGTTCATGGTCGCTTCCTGGGTAAGAGATACAGCACGATGCAACAGGAAGTCTATAAAACGCTATCTGACAGGAAACTGCTGCCGATTCTCTTGTTGATCAAATTCTAGGCAGTTACAACTTTGCTGAAGTTGAAGTGCTGAATGTGTCGCTCACAGGTATACCGAGGGGTGCGGCGTCGACATTGTTACCCGCCTTCTTGGAAACGCTGGGCCTTTTACCTGATCCCCGGGGCGGTCTGCGCCCTGATCGGTGTATGCTTGTACATTTTTGCCGAGACGGAAGACAACTACTACTACACGCACTCGCTGTGGCACATCCTGGTGGCCAGCTGCGTGGTGTTCCTGCTGCCACCCAAGGAGAAGAACAGGGAGGCGTTGGGCTGGACCAGGGGCTGGAGCTGGAGCTGGAGCTGGAGACCCCGGGTTTGTGGGTACACACTCTGTCAGAGCAGCAAAGAAGAACTCTACACTGTCACATAGTTGGACAAGAGATGCTGTAGGGAAGCAGAGTGACTAGGCATTGATTGTTAAACAGCCTTACAGACGTTCACATAAGGTAAAAAAAGACATACACGAGCACAGGGTGTCTGCTGGTGTCCACAAAATCTGACTCTTCAAATGTTCTTAATATCAGGAATAAGCATTTTAAAATCTAATTGAGACCTATATTTTCATAGGTCTACCATTTCCATGTTCACATTTACAGAAGGGTTCAAACTTGTCTTATATTTGAATAAAGAAAATGATCTCTAAAAGTTTTGAATTAGCTTAAACAATTAACTTGCAGACATCCTGAATTACACACACGCACACACACACACGCACACACACACAAACAGCTCATTGAACCCAAATCCAACCTGCTGAAACCTCCAGGGTGATCCACTGCACCAGCTCAGGTGTGAACATCAAAACCTTCAGGTAGCACACCACCTGACCTGTGACCTCATAACCAGGAGTTTGTACATATTGTGTATGTACATATTTTACCAAGCTAGAACATTAATGTTTGAAATATTTATAAGGAATGGCACTTTGTGGATCTCTTTTAAAACTTTATATTCAGCCTATCATTGAGTCTGCTGATACAGTATATTTATAGTTGATGTAAACACTCCTCATTCTTGTGCCCTCTTGTATTCTCCTTTTCCCCACAGGCCTGGGCAAAATGTGCTTGATTTTTATCTGCCAGTTTTAAGAACATTTAAAATAGTTTGACACTATAACTCAGTCCACTTTTTAGCTTTTGCTCTGGAACTTGCAGTCGTATAACATGGTCTTCGTCAGCAGAGGAAGAGTTTTTTTTTTTTATCTACAGAATTTTATCATTGCAGAACATTAAAGAAAATGTAATTTAGATAAAGACATGTAATAGAAATCATTTAAGACCAGTAATCAGCTCTTTATGTATTCCCATAGCTTTTTTTTTTTTGTAGAACACATTCTCAGCCAGTAGCCAGCTGTAATTCAGGGGCTTTTCATCGAGTGTACATGTGAACTAAAGTGTAGTAGTATGGGATACAGGGTGCCTCCTCATTCCTTAACAAAATCTTAAAATCCTGTACATGGCAGGAGGTTACGCCCATGTACAGATATATATGCAGCTTGTATTGAAACTGGGTGTCTGTGTCCTCTCTGTTCTTGTCAGTTTCCCACTATAAAACCTTACCAGTTCCTAATTTTATTCTGAAGCACTTTTATGATTAAATAACAGATTCTACTATGTAATGTACATAGCCCTTATGTGTATGAATGGGCACTTTATGAATGTATATTCAGATTACTGTGTCTAGTGCCTCCTCTTGTCTGTGTATTTCTGTGAGTGAGTGTACTGTGTGAGTGTGTGAAAGTCGTATACAGTTTATATGTTGTCTGTTTTTAAGCGTCCCATACTGTGATGAGTTTCTCATTGTGATTTTGCACAGTTCAAACCGAACTTTTTTGTCACAATAGCCTTCATTTCTTTGTCGAAATATTGTTTTTTCCTTATGTGTGTGTGAGAGAGAGTGTGAAACGCTTTCTTTTGTTGTCACATGTAAGTAGGAGTATGAAAAAGCATACTACCGCAACAACATACTGTAGCTCTCATTGCGTTTAAGGATGAAGACATAAATCGTGCTTAACATGAGACATTTACTTCCTTGTACTGGACAGCTACTTTTCAATCTGTTAAAAAATCCAAACAGAATTTAGTGTACCAAAAATAAAATCTGTTGTGGAAAGAGAAATGTTTCATGATTTTTCTTCAGAGCTTTCATGTGGACAGTCTCAAACTGTTTTTTCCCCTTCTGACACGCACACACACACACTCACTCACTAAGAGTGGATGGGGAATGCAGGGAAGCGGATTAGCATAATCCTCAGAAATATAGAAAGTGCTTGTTGGAAGTGTTGAAATACACATTTCAGTGTGTGTGCGTGACTGGATTTGCTTGTGTGCCCTTATATAGCTTACCTCCATTAGTAGATTTGATGGTCTCTCAGGTCCTGCAAGGCTGACACAGATCAGTACTACAGATCACAACATCAAGCCTAACTGCTCTCTAATAGTCCAAATCAAAGCAGCAAAGACCGACACATCCTGACTTGTAGTGCCTAGTATGAGTCAAGCTTCAGAAACCTACATTTCCCATAATGCAACTCAGAATCATCTTTCATACATCCTAAATTTCTGTCAAATATTTGAACTTGCAGGCCTAACTCAGGACTTTGGATAGCTCCTCCACAGGCATAGAAGATATTCTACAAATGTTTAACTCTGCTGTAGTACTCCTTATGATGACTAATCTGACATGTAAGTATAAATTAACTGACTTGTCTCTTATAGGGCAACCTTGCTTAGCAGTAGTGGTGACAAGTTATCGTAAGTCCTACATTGATAATTTAAGTCATATGGACCTTAAATGTATGTGCTGTAGCACAGCAGTGATTCCTATCCTGGGTCTCAAGACCACCCACAGAGGTCCAAGATAAACCTGAAGGGTTTCACTGATGATTTGATGATCATTTATTCCTTAAAAAAAAAAAAAATCACTTTCATCTCTTCAGCCCTCCCTCTTAAATACAATCTGAGAAGAAAAATTTGGTTAAACTGCTTACAACTCATGTTCATAATTAATACTAGATGTTTGTTAATTTTTATAGGTCACAAGCCAAAAACCACTATTTTAGAATATGAACACTGTTACTGTGACAACATACAGCCAGTAGAGGGAGCCAGTCCAGTAGAAGAAACTGCAGCTCCCACAGGACCAATGCAGGGAAGAAGGAAGGGAAGTAAAACCTGAAAGGTTATTAGAAGGAAGGAAAGGTGTAAAAGTAAGTTTGTAAGTTCAGACACAGTAGTGGGAGAGAAAGAGAGCAGCATGTGCAGACAGATGGCACTGTGGGAAACAGAACTGAGCCAGTGCAGCAGCTATTTTTTATGTTTCTGAAAGTAGCTGTCAAATGGGCTGAGTGGCTGAGGCTCTATTATTCAAGACTACAAATTTTAGTGATGATGAACATTTCATTGTCAAATCTGTATTTGATTAACTTTTTATCTGATGATATATTCTGTAGCAGTTCATGTGGCAAAGCCTTCACATCTGGAGGTTAACAAATACTGTAACAAACCATATAGGGAGAACGAAAAAAAAGAACATAAGAGCGAGAGGAAGTCAGATGAAAAGAAGAAGTAGATTTAAAAATAAAAGCCTCACAGATCCACACACACTCACAGTTTACCACACATGCAGCACTGAGAACACAACACAACACTGAATGCTGTTGTGACATTTTATTGAGATGAAAACATGCTCAAGCTAAATTAACAGCAACAACCATCACAATGTGAAGCTCGGCCATGGAATGAACAAATTAAGCAAACTGTACGATAATCACATACATGCTGAGGCAAATTTTTGACTAAATACATATTTTACATCTCTATTGATCTATAAACCTTTTTTTCTAAAACTGCGTATGAGATAGAGAACAGATTCTTGGAAAAGGAAGATTTGGTGTTAGGAATCAATATCAAGAAAAACAGGACAGACTTTTTGGACTGAGATGGGATGCAGGATGACTATGCTGTAACGGTAGCACTAAAAGCTCTTTTTTCTCTATTCACTGCTCGTGCTGTGGGAATAAAATGTGATGCTGCTGAGTATGCATTTACACCTGTGATCTGAGAGGAAGCTCTAACACTGAAATCCTAGCTCTGGTTATGTTGCAGCGGTGAAAGAAAAGCTCTGGCTTTCACACAGACAGTAGGACTGTAAAGAAAAAGCAACTCCTTGGGTGGTTGCTATGGTGACCAACAGATACAATGGAGACTCAGGTGATTGAGACTGACACGTTTTTTTGGGCCTGGCATCAGGTTTGGGAACCGGCTGCAGAGTTGGTACCTGCTTGCCCGGCCCCCTTGGCCTGTCCATCTTCCGGGGCGACAGCCTGAGCGGGGGAGGGGCTAGCGTGCCGCTGGCGTCTCATGAAGGGAAACACACTGAGAGGAAGAAGAGAAAGAAAGAAAGAAGAGAAGTGTAATATTAGGGAATGAATGTATTGAGGTAAAAGGAAAATAAGAGTGGTAATTAAAGTGAGACTTTACCTTTTCTTTGTCTCCTGGGGGACAACAGCTTTGGCCAGCATGTTCTTGTATAAGTCAGACTTAAGATATCTTGGGTAAGAGTCCTATACACACATACACACACAAATACAATGGCATCACACAACATTACCACCTAAGTAAGTCTTAGAAACTGTCAGCTAGCCTTAAGTTGCCATTAAGCTGATGCTTCTCCTTTTAGTTTACAGACAAGATATAAAGAATATTCATGTTTTGACCAAATAAAATGAGCTTGGTTCACATTCCATCTGAATAGATGACTTTTTTTTTCTCTAAAGTTTGCCTCTAGGCCACAAAATCCAGAAACAAAATGCAAGTTATCATAATTACGCTGATGACAGTTATACCTGTCCTTGTCCCCTGAAGTTCTAAACTCTGTTAAATCACTTGTTGCATTAGACATAAACAATAAGATGTCTCACAATTTCCTGTAGCCCAACAAAGACAAAAGTAAAATTCTAGTTATTGGTGCAAAAACCTGCCTTGGAAAGTACCACACAGGTTAGTGTGGATCTGACTATTTTTTTCCAGATCACCAACATCACAAAGGCTGCCTGTTATCATCTCCAAATAGGAGTCTTCTCAGCTCTCTCACTTCCAGTTATTCCATATACATACCATATGAGGATATTTTGAGCACATTGTGTGCACCCTCGTATGAATGTGCTATATAAATAAAGTTTTGCTTGCTTGCTTGTGAGTTCTTCAGGGTGAAATTGCCCTTGAATGCAGGCTATTCTGTTTTACATATTTTTTAATGTATTTTTCCAACCCTCCCCCTTCTAGGCAGCCATTGATTTCTTTATTTTTTTATTAACATATGAAAATCAATTAGACTCATAAAGCTTGCATGAGTAGTGCCTCCCATCAACATCAATACTGCAATCATATTTAGTAATGCTCTATTATCATTGCATGGTAAGGTACATTATATGCAGAAAAGTCTGCAGTCAGCACTGCAATACCACGCAACAATAATGTAACTTTAAATGATCCTACAAATCAAATAATCAAAAGTCTGTTAAAAGATATTCTATGCAAATTAATTGAAACCATGGATTCCTGGAAGTGTAGAAAAAGAACATTCATATCCTATTTTGTCTGTAAGTTTCAAGTATCAAACAGTGGGTCAGAGTTCAGACCTTCTTCATGAGAAAGTAGATGTGCATTTGTGCGTCGTCCATGACAAATCGATGTGGGTGTCTGATCCCGTCTAGAGTTTTATCCATCGTCTTACTGTCGATGTTCACCCAACGGGCAGCTCCAGGAGCCAGGAAATTTCTGAGTCACACACAGAAGAGTGACTGTCACTGGATTGTAAATATAAGTCTGTATGCATGTTGGTGTGCTTGTAGACTTACTTGTAAATATCCTCCACTTTCTCAATAATCCTGGAATTTTCTCCATGTTTAATATCCTCACAGGCCTGCCAGAAACACAGGTTCTCCGCTAGCAGAGACAGACAGAGAGAGACAGACAATGGGGTGTTGGGTATGTATGGAGGTGAATGAAACAACAACGATGCAGGAAAAAGTGACACATAATTAGATACTTTTTATAGCATGGCTGGCCTCTGTGGAACACCTTGGCCCCTGGCAATATTTCATATGTCTGCATGGATAAACAAATAAATCCCTTATACCCTTATCACACTTAAATCTGTCTTGGACTTTCCTTCCTCCTTTCCGTTCTTCTTTCTTATCTACTTTCCATGTCATCTTCTTTTCCTCTACCTCAACCCTTCCATGTCTCACCACTGGGATTGTAAAATTTAATTAGAAAAGATAATGAAATTCTGAACGCTAATAGGAGTAAGAATAAATTTAAGGTTGATATGAATAACAATTACTTTTTCTCGGTTTATTATTGTAAGTATTGTAAGTGTCTCCATGTAAACAATAATGAATTTTGCTTGTATGATTGTGATTCAACATGTAAAACAGTTTGTTTATTGGGCTCCTAATAACGAACTAACTAAATCTTTAAGGGTTTTGACAAATTTTATCAAATCTGACACGACAACCATTACGAGTCAGGACACGCACACAAGTATATGAAAAGGCATTTCTGTCACTCCTCCTTACCACTAAACTCTTTCTCCAGGTAGGTCATGAACTCCCGCCTCCCCATGGAGTCATTAAGAAGCTCCATGAAGCTGAAGCTCCAACGTTCCACTCGGAGACGTGTTGGTAAGGGCACCCTGCTCACAGAAACACACCAACAACACAAACCAGGCACATAGGCATTCAAATGGCAAACTACTGTGATAACCATGAAGTAATGCATTAATTGATATGTGAAGAGATGCTACAAAAGCTAAAACCAGCTAAACTAAAATACTACAGTTGACTGTAGTTTAGACGTATTATAATGTGTGTGTATCTGTGTGTATTCTCTCACACTTCTGCATTCATTGTCCAATGTGCGGTGTCATCAGAGATCCAGGGGTTACTGGGAAGGCAGCCTTGCATAATGGGATCGTGGTTCAGGTACTGCTCGCTGTATTTCACAAAACTGCACATCCACACACAAATGCAGAGGCATGCACACACACACACAACCAGATGCACACACACATACACACACACACACAGTATTATTGTATTAGTGCTGCAGATCATAAGAGTTAATGGCCACTAATTCCAACTTGCCTCAGGAAGCATCCATTAGTGGCTCTTGTAGTGGAAGCAATAAGCCTTATGTGCATGTGTGTGCATGTGAGACGTGAAGTTCGGTTCAGGCAGCAAGTCAGTCCTTGTGTGTACATGTGCATGTGTGTGTGTCTGCGTATGTACGCTTATCAAACTGACACATACCCTTCTAGGCAGATGGATGACTTTACACGGTTTCTTCCAAGGGCCCGTCTACAGGTTTCGATCTGTGGGCAAAGGCAAAAAGCACACGTACGAATGTAAACGCCCACAAATCGAGCTATAATATACAGTCAATGCTCTTAAAGTGAGGGTGTATGCATTATGTATGATCTTTACCTCACTTTTGTAGTAGTCGCTGTTCTAGTTCTGTTAAGGGACACACAATGTCATCACTATAGTTCACACAATATCTGATTTATACATTTATACAGTCATTTCAATAGTAGGCAGCCTCCCAGTGTCTATATGTGCTCACTCATACAAACAGTGGCTTTAAATATTTAAACAGAATATATTCCGACACATGAGAAATGTACAGTATGAGCTTAAAAATATGAATATATATATATAGATCTAATTATCATCAAAGATGGATAATTCTCTGGACTAATTAGAAATTGAGTATTATAATAGAAAGAATAAAAATTGCATAGAATCAGCCATAATTTCTGTATGGGCCGAAAATTTCTAACCTCTATTAGAAAAAGAATGTAATATATTGAATTGTCCATAGTATAGCACAATTACTTGGACACTTACTTTGAAACAATCCCAGCAGCAAGAAAGAGAGAAAGCCATAACATGTTTTAGCACATTAGGTTTTCCAGAGCGGAATAAACAACAACGAATAAAACAGGAAGTAAAGAAATGTGATGTCACTGACCAGTGTAACTCTTGAGCTGTTATTTAGTCTCTCCAGACCCATGTCCAACACATTAAATGCCCCAGGCTGGAAAAAATATACACACACTAATAACTAAGTATAGTATGTCTGTCACTGAGCTTGTGTTTATGTGTGTGTGTGTGCTTCTGATGACAATGTGCGTGTGAGTGAGCACTTATCCTTCCTTGAGCTTTCCACTCCACTAGCTCTGACTTTTATTCTCAGGTTTCTCTTTCTTTTTCTCCATGCCCTCGTCCCTAATTCATAAGGGCAAGACAAGATGGAATCCCTCATCCAAGCCCCCGTCCTCTGCTTCACTCGCTTCTCTCCTCCACAGTAACTCTCAGCTTCCTAAGCAATCCCAGCTTCCCTCCCTTTCTTCTTGCCCCTTCTGATCCTTCTCTCTGTCTGTCTGTCTGTCTTTGTCTAAGAATCAAATGCACTGCTGTGGTGTGTAGGCAACATAAAGAAAGTGGAATATGACGAATATTATTTCTCTGTCTCTCTCTCTCTGTTGCCCCTGTTGTCAGCTGAGGCTTTTACCAGATGGGTTGAATATTTCATGTATGAGGCAGAGGGGACTGTGAGTGAACATTACTGGGATCTCTGACTGTTTTAAATACTTCAATGCACATTTCTATAGTTGTATAGTATGACAATGCATAGTATGGTATAGAACAGTACAAAAGAGCAAAATTGTATAGTATAGTATATATTCTAATCCACCACACTATAGTGTAAAGCAGTACAGTGAAATATTGTAAGTATAGAGCAGAGGTTTTGAAAGTGGGAGGCAGGCCTCTCCAGGGAGGCTCCAAACAATTTGAAGGGAGACTTAGTGAATGAAAGTGAAAAAAGATTACATTAGTTATCAAAAGGAGATCACATAGATATCGAATAGCCTACGTGTGTGTGTGACTTGGTTAAAGAGACACCTCAGAGATACATTAGATCGGGGGAATTGTATAGTTGTTCCACTTTCCCAGTCAGAAACGAATAAATGGGTTAGGGCAGACGTCTCTTTATGCTTTTGGTGTAGTTATGTCAGACAGCAATATTATGCTCCCTTGGCTCAATGGTTGTGTGTGTGGTTGGAATCAAATAACATAATCATAATCATTATCAAACCCTAACCGGACATCCAGGAATTGAGCTAAACTAAGTAAGTTAAATGAAGGAGGGGAGAGGGGGTGTGCCTTTTTCCAAGCTTTGTCTGAGGGGAGGCCGCAGTCTTACACTTTGAAAACCCCTGGCATATACTACAGTATATATTCTAATCCGACACAGAATAGAACACTATAGTGTATAACAGTACAGTGCAGTATAGTGTATTACAGTACATAGTCTAACACAACAGAGTACAGTAGCAGTGGACGTACCGGGGGTCTGTTGATGAGCCAGTAAGCCTGCTCCTGACATTCTAGAACAATGCGGTCAGCCTTCCGCCTCTGTTTGGATGCTCTAAACATAAATCACACCGTGAGTTTGTGTGTGTCTGTGTGCATGGGTGTGTGTGTCTGTGTGAGTGTGAGAGAGAGACTGTGACTGTACCTAAGTTGCTCTCTGGCTTGCATCACCACAAAGTCCCATGTGTGGTTGATCCTCTTGTGCAACACACTGTACCTCTCCTAAAAAAGGAAGAGGAAAAGGGACAAGAGATGAATGAGAAAAGAAAAGAAAGCACAGACAGAAAAGAGAGGCCTGTTAGTGCAAACCTACTACTGCATAATTCAAGCTGCACACACATTCTCTCTCTTACTTACACACATAGACACACGCTTTTCTCACCTTCTCATATTCCATTAGTTCTCCTTGTTTCCTTATGTTTTTTTTAGCCAAATAGATTGCTGTTGGGATATAAGAAGGACAACAAAAACAGTAAAGAAGTAAAAAACAAAGAAAAGAGATTTGTGTCCTGATCTACATCATATGTTGTGCCCATAGCTCCTGTAAATGCTTGTCAGGACTCTATGTTATATTTGAAAAGAAGGAATTATTGGTAGTTTGTCACATTTTATACTGTGATAATGGGTGATAGTTGTTTTCCCTCATAATTTAACATATAGTATATAAATGGGTCATTTTCCTTCACACTACTGAGATCCCCTCTCACCCCTTCAGTTTGTTTTTGGCATTACCATAGTCCAGCTCTGAGGCAGGCCACCGGGTGCTAGTCCAGAAGTAAGGAGTCTGAAAAATTACAAAAAGACATTATTTTTAAATATTAGGTTAGGTTAATAGTGAAGCGGGTCATGAAAAAGTGGCAGCGGAGAGTGGCAGATGGATGGGGGATTAACAAGTGGGCTAATGGAGTTAGAGAGAGAAAGGGATAGTGATGGAGAGAAGGTGGCGGGTTTAGCCAAAAGTGGTTAAGCTTTTAAACTGGAAAGGAGGGGAAGCAAGCAGGCAGAATGAACACACTACCTGGTGGGTGGAGGGGTGGCTGACTCACCTGGAAGCGGTAGGGCGACTCATCGGGCCGTAGCACAAGAGATCTCGGCTCCTTCAGGGGGTAAACGTACCCGTATCTCACCAGCATGGCACCAACATGCAGTGCCTCTGTTAATACACCACAGGAGGAACCAATCACTAGACTGTCAGGGGGAGTGAACTGGCTTTTTATGCAATCTTACACACATTTAAGGCTGACATAGATATTTCTGATGTATATTCATAGGACACTATTATTTGTGTTGATGATAGGGATAAAGCTCTCACATTGAACAAACTGAATGTGGAGAATAAATGATATTAACTGGCCAAAAGGAATATAATTAGTAACGCTGTGAACCTAATTTTTCATACATTTTTTAGCTCCCTGTCAGCAATCTCTTTCAAATCAAGGCTTTGTTCCAGTGATGAAATGCATCATCAATCTTCAGTCTCCCCTCATTTGTTAAAGAGCCCTACTTTTATGACTGACAGCAACCAAAAAAAGCTGTGTGATGCATTTTAATCAGCTCTTACCACTCTCTCTCTCTCTCTCCCTTGCTGACTGACTCCACTCTTCCCTACTTTAGTCTGCTCTGAGGAAAAGGGACCAGTGGACTACTTTTTTCCAACCTCTAATTTAGTTTAGGTACGTGGTAAAGTCTCCTGAGGTGAAAACCTCCACAGGGGCATTTCATCAAACCCAGATCATCAGGTGAGTTAATCAGACCTGGATCCTCTGGGGGTCACCCCATTTCTGTTTACTTGAAACAGCAACCCCCACAACACACACACACACA